AAGTAGCTGTGCTAATCTTGCAACATTTGTTGATTTGAAGACCAAAATTTTAACTGAATTTAGTCCTAATTTGCAATTGTTCTGAGATGTCTTCTGACATTGATTTGGTATGCATTACTGTTTTAAGAGCTTTGCCGTATTTTTCACCACGCATAATTTCACACATTTTCATAGATGCTGGAACTGATAATGTCCCTCCAATGGTATGAGGCTTCCTATTTTTCGCTATTGAGTATGAGACCTTAAATAAGCTAGAAGTGGTTTAGTCAAGGTAGTGACTGTAGTTCGCATTAAATTTTACTGTTCAGACTTTTCTATAGTTTTCTTTCTAAAATTTATTATGTTTCATTCACAATTTGTTAAGTGTCTACACAAATTTCTTGCATTGAATCTTCTGTTTGCAAGAACTTCAGCACAAACACATTGGAGATGCTTTTCTCTTTACACAAATCAATCAGTAAAAGTAAATGTAAGGAATTCCATTTGATATTTTCCCACCCCTTTTTTTCTTTCTCCCTGCCAGAGAACCATGAACTGTAGAACTGGTTTGGTCCCATGTATCAGTATTAATTTTCAACACATTTAGAATGCTTTATAAGCCACAGATCCATTTTTACACAGCCGCACAATGTGTCAGATTTTACTGATGAGCTGAGACCACAGTAGTTTGTAATAATCAGGGCATTAATGCATGCATTTTGCATTTGTTTAGCTCCCTTTAATTTAACCTGCCAACATTCAAAGTGAGATCTTTAAATAATTTGATTGGATCAGATTAAAAAATAGCACTGGAACAATTGAATTCTAAGACTGCTTAATCTTAAGACATCTCGACTGCATGCTTACCAAACAACTGTGTTTTATGGGTTGTATAAGGCAAGTAAGTATATAGAGAAATCCATCAGTTGATAGTTCAGTTTTGGGGTATTCCCATAATTTTTAAGCTTGCCGCGTAGTTCCAGAACCGCTGCCTAAGATTGCTATGTTTGGAACCAACTTATGGAGTTGGTGGGAGTGTAACAGATCTATTGAACTGAATATATCTTTTTGTACATGTACTTTTAGGTGTGATCTACACAACATATATAAGTCATATATTAATGTTCCTTTTTACCATTTTCTAGTGCCATCTAATACACGAGTATGTATTTATATAATGTTTGCACTTTTAATTTTTCCATTATATGTTTGTAATTTGTGACTTTTTCTTTAAAATATGTGTTCATTGTGTAAACCAAATGTCAACATGTAAAACAACGCTATGTAGAAACTTCAGTTTATAAAGTAAAGTTGTCGCTGTGCTTAATTAATTAAGCATCATGCCATAAATACGAACTGAACCCCAGCTATCCAGCATGTAGCCTGTCACTATAAGAGCTCAGCTGTAAGTATAGCAAATTTTGTTAGAGTAATTTTTTAACTGTACATAAAAAAGGACATGCTTTCATGCAGTGCACATACATAAAGGATGTCTAGGAAGGATTTAGCTCTAAAAGTTTGTTTTAGTACATGCTGGAAGTGGTCTTAGTGGCAAGAATTTATCATATTGCACTTCTTGAACTGTGTCAGTGTTTGCTGTGGTATATTGAAAAAGTCGTTTTCTTTCAATGCAGATTTAATATGTTTGGCGTTCTCCTTGGCTTTTCTCCTAATCTGGAGCATCTCTGAAGCCCTTGAAAGCTATTTCCCTCATGTAAATATGTGAGCAGATATTGAAAAACATCAGTATCATTGCTTGCCATGCAGAATGCATAACAAATTAAATTAACTTAGAAACTGTGTTTTTATGCACCTTTTAAGTGTAAGTTTTTAAAAGTTCTGATGTTAAATAATCATGATGGATATATTTTTATCCAAGTTTACCCAGCTTCATTTGCCCTGCTCTCTTAAGAATATTAAGTTTTTCTATGTATGGTATAGTTTAGAATAGTCCACTTTGTTTCAGTAAGGGGATTTTCAATTGATGTAGATTCAATATTTGTACTGTCTTACAGGANGTTGTGAAGTCATATTGGATAAACCAGTTCGCATACATTAATTTCTAAAAAGGGATTAACTTCCCCTGCAATACAAGGGACTAGGTTTGCAGGATTATCGATGCGCTGCAAACCTTGGTCAACTGCTTTTGGAGGTTAGTAGGGTAGCAGTTAACCATACCGATTGCAATGCTGTTCGTTGCCGTGGCCATGTTGTAATCTTTTCATCAAGCTTCAATAGATGGCAGCATAATGTGTACAGAACAGCTGAATGTCAATGTGGAGACGGGCTGAAAACGGTGGAGCATATCGTCTGGGATTTGCCTGACATGGGCAAACAAGAATAACCAAAGTAAGTTCAAACCCCTTAAGGCTAGAGGGAAAAAAAATCTGTGCAAGGCGTTTGTTACTCCATAAACAAAATTCCTAAATTTATTAAATAAAAATATTAATAGCATATTCTTAAGTTAGGAGAGATGTTAAAAAAAACGCGGAGTGACCGCTATGATAGAATAAGATGTTTATAAGAATGAGCTGCACACGGCCAAATGAGCATTGCCTAGGCCATTTTTGTATATACGTACGTGATCTTTTTCCCCCAAATAAATCAAATATCAGAATACTTGATCCCGGAGCACTGTGGAATTCGAGTAAATTAGAGAGCTGACTAGGAGGCAAAATAATCCGTCAAAGAAGGTAGACAGTCGACCACTTTTACAAATGACAGATCTTAAAGCCCCGTGGAGAAGGAAAAGCAAAGAGGAGCTTCATAGTTTCTGTCAAAACACCAAAAGAGACAGAGGAGAGAGCGCCTCAGATATACCCTTAAAAAATTAAAAATTATAATAAAAACAAAAATGTGGGAGCTACGTGAAATTGAATTGTTGCCTTGTTATTATTCGTCTCTCATCGATATTAATTTGCACTCTTCAGATTATTTCAGTTTTTAAAAACGTTTGTTTTTTCGTCAATAAGTTGCATTATGCTTCTGAAGATAGTCAGGAATACACTATATTAGTACTAAGGTATGTGTTTGGCAGCGCCATAGCTGAAGCTGTTAGTCGCTGGCTTCCCATTGCGGCGGCCCAGGTTCGATCCCCGGTCTAGTCAAGTGGGATTTGTGGTGGACAAAGTGGAGCTGGGGCAGGTTTTCTCCGAGTACTTCGGTTTCCCCTGCCAATCTTNGTAAACTAGACCAACATGGTTCCGGATGATTATACAATAATTAATTGGAAAGGGCATTAAAAGAAGCGGTTGTAGCCTAATTCAAGATACTGTCGCGGCATATATCACGGGGGACTGAGGGAAACCAAGAAACCCCTCAGTGATTATAGCCGGTCTGTGGACTCCGTGTTTCTTTAATATTTCTGAATTTAAATATTTGTATCCCGAAAAGGGTTTCTTTAAGATAAAAAGGTAAAGCTGTCCATGTGCTTAACTAATTAAGCGGTCGCGCCCTAGCTCAAGCGGTTAGTCGCTGGCTTCCAACCGCGGAGGCCCGGGTTCGATCCTGGGGTCTGGTAAAGTGGGATTTATGGTCGACAAAGTGCCGCTGGGGCGGGTTTTCTCCGAGTACTTCGGTTTCCCCTGCCAATCTTCATTCCACCAAATTCTCCATCATCATAATCACCCGGGGAAGGCTACAACAGGCCAGTCAGTGGCCGCCGTGCCGAGTGCACCCACTTGGACTCCACACCCCCCCCCCCCACTAAGGGAATTTAAATTTAATTTTAACTAATTAAGCACTAAGCCATGAAGGCGTATGGGGGAATGGATGTATAGATTCACATTCGCTTGACTTCGGCACTAGCTGGAGATGAGGGGTCAGTTTCACTCCCCGGCCAGTTTACCCCCGGGGAAAGACGGATAGGAGGTTTGGTGGACCCCAGAGCCGGTCTTGAAGATTTGGAGAAGAGAAAATTCCTGACCCTATCAGGACTCGAACTCCGACCCCTAGGTTGTTCAGCCCGTAGTCAGTCGCTATACCGGCTACGCTACCCCCGCTTCCCCGCCACATTTACGTTAGGACAGAAATTTAATAAATTGGCGAATTCCTTTGCGTTGTTTCATCTGCGTAGGTTGACATCACTGTTCATGACGTCACTACTGGCGCCTCTTGCGGCCGCCACTGTAAGAAGCAGTTGTAGTCTGGCAGGGGCCGAAGGATGTGTGTTTGGTGTGTGAGAGGGCGTTGCGTGTGCTGTGCTCGCGAGCCATATAATGGGCCTTTAGTATACGAGTGGTGCTCTCATTTTCAAGAAGTCAAGAAGGTCGAAAAAATATGAGTCTGAATACCGAACAGTTGATTTTGAAAAACACTGAACTGAGGGAACGTTTGCGTAGGGAGGCAAAGAGTGCAACCCCGGGAACATGGAATACGGAAGAAAGATATTGCAACAATGATTCCTTGGATTCTGGAGTCGCCGGACTGAAGGATCCACATTTTAACAGCAACAAAAACAGTGATACAGAAACATCAGAATATATAGTAGATCCTTCAGCGAGAACTACATACCTTAAAGGAAAATTCTTAGGGAAGGTAAATACTATATAAATGGCAGAAATATCCTAATTTATTTTGTTACCGAACAAGTTGTGTTGTAATATTTCTAAACAGAATTCTGTCCTTACCTACTCTTTTTTTTTCTCATTTTCGGAGAATATTTTTACGAAATGTTAACAAACAATCGTAAAAGATGATGTATTTCATGTGAAAATTACATCGAAGCTTCAGTAATTTAATTTTTATATTAAGTGTTGTGTTTCAAATCTTTGTTTACAAATATCTTGTCTTGAACTTAACTGATGTCCTCCGGCCATGGGGTCATGAGAGAATCATTTGGTCAAGGCAAGTGGCGGTGGAGAGGGGGAAATTTCGGTGCGTTTGGTTAACATTGTTACAATGCTTTTGTGTTCACATTTGCGAAGTTGCGAGCAAGACTTGACAGCTTCCCTTGTCCAACCAGCCTCCCGTACCATAATCTACACCTGTTTTGCGGAGAATCGGCAACATAGCCTGCTAGCATTTAGAGGTAGGCAGTAGGCGACCGAGTATACGCACAGTTGCCAGCTTTTTGGAAGACAAAGAAAGGAGTCAATCGCCCCGTACGGGTTTTGGAGTGACTTGGAAGATTCTTGTCTAATGTTCCATTTAATAAAAGTATTACTGGCAAATAGTAGGGGATAATAAAACATTTATCCACACATACACCAAAGTGGATATGATGTCCGGATCATGCATGCAGCAGGTTTATTGATACGTACATCATTTCGGCCTTTAAATTACTAAAAAAACATTCAACGTTGTCGGCATTCAGTTCTTTTCAGCTGTGCATACAAGTAGACTACATACACGCAAGGGACACATTCAGTAAATTATTTGTCTCCTGGTGGTTAAAGGCCTCCTTGAGGTTCATCGTGGAAGTGTAATTTCTTTTACCGATGTGACTGTTACACGTACATGCCTTGTTCGGGAATGTGATTTGTTTCACGATGAGCAATCGTTAAGTTGTAGACTAAATTTCCTGCAAGTTATAAGATGTATAGTCGCATTTTATGCTAGGATGCGTTCCTTAAGACCCCCGCATAATTCAATACAAGTTTACTCATATGAATAAATGTGAAGTAAGGGAAATGCCCACTTTTGGGGGGGGGGCAGGGGGTTTGCTTTACTTCGAACTTAGCGCATAAATTGAGACATTATTTTTATATCACACTATTTAAATTCGCATAAGTGCTACCCGCACTATAATTCCTCAGTCGTCTTAACAGTATATTGTCTTTCGTTAATTTCTTTTTATGTGCTTAATTTTTTTAGTATTGCTATGCTATATAATATTTATTTTCAGACTGATTTCCCGGAGTAGTTTTAGCTTTTACCCATATGTATTAGATTGCTCAATAATGAATTCAAGGGCACTTATTTGATTCTTTTTTACATCTTTAGAAGTTTCCCCGGTTATAACAAATATTCAGAGGCTACAAGTCGCATCGCCTCCCCCCCTTGAATATTCGCGAGAAAAAAATTCTCAGAAATGTATCTGAGACTTTTCCAGTCATCATCATGCATTAAGTTCCAAAATACAAGATGAAAGCCAGATATTTTGATTGTATATTCCTGTCGGTATTTTAAAAGTATTTTTTTATTGCTAGTGGGGTGGGAATAAGTCCCTTGTACTGCGGCCACTTCTGACCTATCTGACCTATTGTACCAGCCCCAGATGATAGGTGAGGGTGATTGTGGAGCAATTGGTGGAATGAAGATTGGCAGGGGAAACGGAAGTACTCGGAGAAAACCTGCTCCAGCACCACTTTGTCCACCACATATCCCACTTGACCAGACCCGGGATCGAACCCGGGCCGCCGCGGTGGAAAGCCAGTGACTAACCGCTTGAGCTGTGGCGCGGGCTATTTTAAAAGTAAAATTCAGCTGCTAGGGAACAATGCAGATATGAAAACAAAACATTCTCACATATTTAGCTTTAGTTTGCATGTGGATGCTTTTCTGAAAACATTGGCACGATTAGAAGAACCAAACTTGGACGTCCTGTTCTCTGTCCGCTCCATTTGATGCCCAATTTGACCTACTCTTGATTGCTTGAAGTTTGAATTGGTGTAATTGGTCTCCAAGTTGTGAAGGTAAGAATTTCACCTAAAATTATCTTGGAAGAAGTGCGTTTCATTGGTTCTCCTTGGGGCTCGTGTCTGGATATGGAAAACTTGATGATTGCTCGGTCATACATAACATACATGTTTATATCTAAGAACATTTTTTATTAATTTATGATATTCCGAATTAGTGAAGCGGAACATTTTTTAACACGTTTGGCACAGGAAAAGATTATACTTAAATGTAACGCTGCTTTGTCATGTAGATTTTCATATTTTATGAAAAATGTACGAGTCGTTACATAATTTGGCTCATATTGTTTTTTTTAAATAATAATATATACTTTTAGATTTATTTAAACCTTACCTTTGTATGAATGTATAAAACCTTACATAAGGCTGGATCATATCAACAAAAACTGTCCTATTTTCTTGTATTCCTTAAAGAATTTAGTTGATAACGTGATATCGTGTCTAGCGAGAATTTTCACGTACGCAATTTGAAATATGTGTTTGTTTCCTCTGTGTCCGTGCATTCATAGCTCGTGAATGAAATAGGATGTAATACTCTTATCACAAAAGGCAATGGTGAAGTTTTCCCTATGTTTAATTAATTCAGCATCACACCATGAAGACATTTGAGGAAGTGGAGGTATAGATCCACCTGTTGACCTCTGCACTAGATAGAGGTGAATTGTTAGCTTCGCGCTACGGCCTCGTTATCCCAGGTACAAATTCGATAGGAGGCTGTATGGATCCCCAGAGCCTGTCAGGACGTTGTGGAGAAGCGAGAAATCTCTTGCCCTGCCGGGAATCGAACCTAGATCCCTCGACGCTTTAGACCGTACCCCGTCGCTATACTTAGCTATCCCGGCGTCTCTTTTATCGCATATAGACTGCAGATTTGTTCAGGCAGTTTGGTATTCATATGAAGCAGCCACAATAAGTCGAGGGTGTGTAAGGGCGCCGCACACCATTTGCGTCAAGACAAGCATCAAGATATGAGACAAAAGACGTAGTCTTGCTTCATTCGTGATTCGTCAGCATGAAGCTGACATCAGCATCATGACTCAGAACGGTGTGCGATGGTTTTCATAATCTTATTCGTTTCAACTGTGTTCCTTTCTTTGCGTCATGTCGTAGATATCATGTCTTCACTGTTACATGTCTTGACGCATGCCGGTGTGCGGCCTACCCAAGTCTCGTGTACCTAGACTAGGCATACATTCCTGAGGTACGCATGGCCATATGTCCGCCCCGTTTCCATGCATTATTCGCGGCTGATTCAGGCCTATATGCATTGGAATGATTCAAAGCAGGGAGCCGTACCAAGAAGACGCTGGAACAGTCTGACAAGACATTTCGTCATGCATTTACCAATTGACTTTTCAGAATGCGGAGCTACCAAGTGTGTGTCTTTACAAATACAGATTAGCGACCTTGTTTTATACTCTCATGAATCACAAAACAGTAGGGAGCCGGGATAGCGTAGTCGGTATAGCGACTGGCTACGGGCTGGACGACCGAGGGGTCGGAGTTCGAGTCTCGGTAGGGTCAAGAATTTTCTCTTCTCCATGCATGGATCTATACGCTGTAGCGTAGTTGTTTGCGGGGCTATGCTACAAGCCGGAAGGTCGTGGGTTCATGTCCCGATGAGGTCATTGAATTTTTTCCAATTGACCTAATCCTTCCAGCCGCACTATGGCCCTGTGATCAACTCAGCCACTAACAGAAATGAGTACCAGGAATTAATTAAACAATTTTCCTGGGGAGTAAAGCGCGGCCGGCGCGTAAGGCTGACAACCTTACCGCCATCTTTGAGCCGATTGTCTAGATAATGTGGGACCCTCAACGTCTCACACCCCTATGGGCCTTCACGGCCTGGTACAGAGATAGTTTTACTTTTTTCTTTTATGTCGTCCAGACCGGATCGCCCACCTAACCTCCTATCCAGTAGGTATCGGGAGCAAAGCGGCCTGACCGTGAAGCTGACCACTCAACTCCATTTAGTGCCGAGGTCAAGAAAATATGGATCTATACATCCACTCCTCCATACGTCGTCATGGAGTAGTGCTTAATTAGTTAAGCACAGGGACAAGTTTGCCTTTACTATTGCTGAATACTTACATAAATGCGGTCGTTTTAAATCTGCACACGGAAGACTCCCGTTCGGATCCCATGCGACCTTTGATGTGAGAACAGCTTATTCTGTGAATCAGGGTTTATACAGCAACGTTTCGCGACCCCCTAGGGGATCGCGACTTCCTGTAAGGTGGTTGACGAGTTTTGAAGAATTATTTGAAATATAATTATAGTGAACAATTTTGGAAAGTCAGTAAGATTTGTTGCAAATGCTTCCAGAAAATGTAACTGCAACCCACGAAATATTTTGCGAATTTTACGTGACTCTATGAAAATATTTTATTGTAGTTGTGCAGAATTTGTAAAGCTATTAAATTTCTTTCTGTGCCGTACAGCTAAATGGACCTGCAGTAATGTGCAAACCTGTTCGTTTCACTGACCAGCACGAGTGTGTGTTTGCGTAATATGTGTGTTGATTGCGGTATCAAAGAGTTCGAGAATCCCTGCTTCAGATGCATCATTTGTTATTTACGTGCTTATCTAAAATGAAAGGAATAGACCAAATATTACGGTATTGTACATATGTTCTTATTTTTCTTTTTGCTAGTGGGGTGGGACTAAGTCCCTTGTACTGCGGCCACTTCTGGCCTATTGTACCAGCCCCAGATGATAGGTGAGGGTGATTGTGGAGCAATTGGTGGAATGAAGATTGGCAGGGGAAACCGAAGTACTCGGAGAACACCTGCCCCAGCGCCACTTTGTTCACCACAAATCCAACTTGACCCGGGTCGCCGTGGTGGGAAGCCAGCGACTAACCGCTTGGGCTATTGCAAGTATTTGACATTCCAC